CATAAAGCGTGCATGTGTTGTATTACGACGTTATGTACTAGAGGTAATCGTGCTCAGGCATGGATAGTCCTGTGCAGTGTGACCGCGGGCCAGGCCGGCCAGAGGGGGAATGGCGCTGTGGGGGGGCAATCGGCAAAACAGTACGTATGGCCAGAGTGACCGCGCCTAAGATGCCTTTGTATTAACATTCATTTCTTACATTTCTTACATCAACAGACAGCAAACCTCAAATAAAAATTCACAAAGACGTGTTATGACCGTTTTAACACTTGATTATAATTAGAGCAGTGAGTGTGGCGAGCGGACGTGCAGACATCAATGCACTCATCGTGCTTTGAAGCTGTTTTGACAGAAACATTGTGTTAACAAAGACTCCAGTCTGCAGTGCAGAGCCTTTATCAGCGCTTTGTTTGTCATCTATTTTCTTTTTGCGCTCGTGCACCTTTTTTCTGTTTTGAATTAGGCCTATACAACCCACAATGCAACAAGAAACATTTACAAAAATGTGGACTACAAAATGAATATCGATTACATTTTTTTTGTAACCGATTATTATTTAATAATAATTTACAATAATAATAATAATAATTTAATTTTGCAATAATTTTGCAGCCCTACTCCTGAAGTTATCTAGATATCATCCGGAGTGCATGTGTGAAAACGGCTTTAGAGACGGGACAGCTGGCTTCATCGGGTGCTCCTGAGCACACAGCCAGAGCCTTCCTGCTCGCTAGCTTATAGACTCTGAAGAATCAGAAATCTTGTTTGGATAACCTCTCGAAGCAGATCTCTCAGAGTCCAGCCCTCAGAAAGAATGTCTGCAGGAAGTTTTAGCCACAAACATGTTCCTGAGTATTAAACATGAAACAACCCTAAAAAGATGTCATGTTTATTAGTCACAACTTCTGTCTCCTTCTGATGAACTGACCTGAATACCTGAAATTCAGATTTAAATGTAACATGACCTGTTTGATTCTGATGATTGTTGAAGGGAAAAACTTTGTGGGGCTTAGGGCGGAGCCTTGAGGAACTCTGCAGGATTATTCATTGTTGTTGCTCTGTTTGTCTCTATGCCTCTTCCTGCATCTCGCTCTCGCTCTCTCCCACTTCCCAAGCCCAGCACACACACACACACACACACACACACACACACAATAAGAAGTTAGAAGAGATGAATTAATACATAAAGTGTGATAAAAACAAGAGAAGAAGAGAAATAATTCAAAGAAAAGAAGAGAGCAAAGCGATAAGACGGTTAATGTCAAATGTTATAAAAACCTGTCTCTTCAGGGAACAGTTTGAGGAAATAAATACTTTTAATTTGTTATACAACTGTCGAGAAGTCACCTGAACATGTTTGAACCCGCACGCGTCCGTGCCGCTGGCCGAATGAAGATGTGGGTAAATATCTGCTTTTTTTCCACCCTCATGATAAACTGTCCTTGAATAGTTTCATTGATGAACGGTCAACATCACAGACTAATGAGTGAGGCCTCTTTCTGATGTCGGCCATGTTGCACCCTTTAATCGCTTTGAACTACACCCAGCGATCCCTCAGCTTCAGCAGCGATCACGTCACATAATCAGGAGACGTTCTTTTTTATTAGACTCTTGTTGCTCAGACCAAACTCTTTTTTTTTAATTGCTTTGAGTCGTCAGAGTAGAATAGAATAAAATAGATGTTTATTGCAATTTGCACAGGTACAGGACAGTACAGGTACATTGGAATTTGTGTGCGTTTCTCTCTGCATCAGCTTCTACAAAAAAGTTTTAATTATATATAAAATAGAACAGCATTATAAGAAAAAAAGAGTAGAAAAGTACAAATAAAAAAACAGCTAAGTAAATTAAAATAAACTGTACAGAAGCTATACACTGTATTAAAGCAAAGATATATATATATATATATATATAAATATGTTTTCTTGTCTCTGAGAAAATAAATCAATCTGATTCTGGCGCTCTCTTGTAGTTTTAATGTTTGTCCTATTTTTTCATGTCAGACTTGAATACAGAGTTAAGTAATAAGAAAAACGCAGTAGCGCGGGGGGGGGGGGGGGCGGCTGACTACCCCCATTAAAGGAAGGGGGCCTTACTGGTCCTCAACATGTTTAAAGAAAATGAACGTGTTCATGCTCGATGTCAGATTAAAATAAATTTGGTTGTGTTTAATTACTTAAAGTTTCTCATCACAATGAAACCGAAACACAGATCACAGGCGATGTGCCAGACAGAAGCTAATCTGCTGCATCACACACCGATCTCTCCTTTTGACCTGGTAATCTAGTCATTTTATCGGCAGCTCATCATGCAGGTCACACCCACACCATTCATTCAGGCATTCCTCTGGTGAGCCGCGCTGATTGTGGAATTTTCTCAGATCCACTCGGGATATGACGCTGTTTCATAAACGCAACCCTGAACCAAACGACCTTAAACAAGAACCCGGTTTGTGGGCTCAATGGGGGCGTCAGGACCTCCCTGAGGTCTGCAGTGAGATGATCCAGATCAAACAGAAGAAACCACATCACACTGTTGGACATTTAGAATTCAATCTTTGTGTTTCTAAAATACTACCTGGTTGTTTTCCCCCCACAGTAAACTCAAACAGTTTGAGAAGAAAATCTTTTTATTTCTATGACGTGTAACACGCTGAAATGTTTTTTCATATTTTCATTTTGTTGGGGGCGCTGGTGGTGCAGTGGTTAGTGTGCGCGCCCCGTGTATGGAGGCTGTCGTCTCAAGCGAGCAGCCCAGGTTCACATCCCACCTGTGGCTTCTTTCCTGCATGTCATTCCCCTCTCTCTCTCTCTCTTAATCTGATTTCCGACTCTATCCACTGTCCTATCTCTCCATTAAAGGCATAAAAAGCCCAAAAATAAATCTCTAAAAAAAAAAAAAAATGTCATTTTGTTTTATCAGTGTGTCTAGTTAAACTAATTTAATTTCCAGAAGTATTTAAGTTAATTTATATTTCTAAGATCATCAGTAAAAGAAAACAAAGTTATAAGCAGTAAAGTGTCTTTTATCTACCTTTTAAGATTAAGACCCTGACCCTCTAAGGGAGGCTCAGTGAAGAAGACACAGAGGTGTGTGTAGACTGAAAAATGAAGCGTGTTTAAAGCTGTGGGGCATTTCTTTAATAAAAGTTGCTGAAAGTGAAGATGGACGAGTTCTGACCGGTTCATTTTAAGGGTGCAACAGATGCAAACAACGACGGCCCGGGTTTTTAAGCTGTAAACTCTGGTGTTGTAAAATGAGCCAATGTGAAGTGCAAGAAATCTGCAGTTCCTCCAGTGTCCACTAGAGGCTGACTGCAGATAACCCCGTTAACCGCCATGTCAAATATTGACCGGTCTTGATTTAAAATCAAGAATGACCTCTTCTATTCTGATGATTGTTGATGGGAAAAGTTTTGTGGGGCTTAGGGCGGAGCCTTGAGGAACTTTGCAGGATTATTCATTGTTGTTGCTCTGTTTGTCTCTATGCCTCTTCCAGCATCTCGCTCTCTCTCTGTCCCACTTCCCAAGATAAAAATGCTGTCGATTCCGAGACCGAGACCGAGAAAAACCTCGAGTTCGGTTGAGCACTAACACCCCAAGTGTGTGCTCTCTCTTGTCTCTTCTTTCTCTTTGTTACTCTGCACATTTTTCCATTGTGGGAAATATAGGTTTATCTTCTCTTGACTTACAGGTGGGCGAGTCGAGGGACCCACCGTAAAGGCTCCATCTCTTTTTTTCTAGATTGATCCAGAGTTAGAGTATTTTCAATATGGCGACCGCCACCATCGGGCTTCAGAAACAAAAAAGTAAGCTGCTGTAGACCAAGCGGGGACCAGCGGAGGTTGAAAAATGACTCAACTGAAGCAAAAATGTAATTCAGACCATTCTGCTCCCCAGAGGATGAACCCTTGGATGCTTTTGGGAGCCACCTTTCTTTCCTTGAGTGAGACTTTCAGGACAAGTTCCATTTTGTTTTATGATTGTGCTTTAAAAACACCCTAACCCTGTCCATCTCCCCAGAGGATGATGCAGTTTAAGTGAGTACCTACGCCAGGCCCGCCTCAACACGTTTTATAGCAACTAAATGAAACAAAGAAGGTTTTTAATGGTGTTCCAGACTGGGCGCACTGGTTACATACAACCATCTAATAATACCGCAGCTGAAAGCTCTGGCTTAGCATAATTAGTACAATTACATGCTAATTATTTATCTCCTGTGTTACGTGTTTGTTATGCCCTCAAACATCATCCTGTGTTTTCATACGCAAACTGAAATAAACCCAGAACGCTACCCCAAACCCAGAACGCCACCCCAAACCCAGAACGCCACCCCAAACCAAGAACGCCACCCCAAACCAAGAACGCCACCCCAAACCCAGAACGCCACCCCAAACCCAGAACGCCACCCCAAACCAAGAACGCCACCCCAAACCCAGAATGCCACCCCAAACCCAGAACGCCACCCCAAATCCCCAAAACTGCATCCCGTCCGGTCCTTCAACACCCCCTAAAAATAAACCCCACCACATTATTCTGTGTGTTCCCAGTGACGAGTCTTTTAGGGTGATGTTAATTTAGGGGGGGACCTACAACGAATGCTGTCAGATGGGGCCCCATTAGAGGGGTTTCCTACTGTCATTGCAAAATTTACACATTTTGGGCCACTGCTTCGGTTCAAAGATCTTCAGCCCTTGTGTCCCCCCACTGGTCTGGGTTGCCCTACTGGTCTGGGTTGCCTGGCAGCCCCTCTGTGCGTACCTGAGCTCTGCATTGAGGGAGGGTCAACGTCATAATTTAAAACCCACCGCTCTCAGCCGCCCCATCTTTCTCTGAAACTTCCATCTCCCCGGCGTTCACGCCTCCCTGTAGCAGCAGCAGCACTCTTGTCTTGTCTTGGCGTATCCTTCGCCTGAAGACATTTTTCAGACGTGAGTCATGCAGGTGATAAGCCTATAAATACTAGTTTTCCTCTCAGAGGCTATTGTTGCACGAATCACCATGGAGGAGGACAAGAACATGACAAAGTAAGTACATTCACATTGCATGCTTTAGTTTTTTATTCTTCAGTGATTGAAAATCAAACTTAAAGCTGTAAATGTGGAGACGAAGAAAAACATCTGAATTTAAAGTCAGTTTTTTTTTCATTATTTTAATGTCTAGAATGAAATCGGAGGCTTCACAGCTGGAGCAGACATAACTTCATACATTTATTAGTTAATAAAAAAGATCCTCGTTAAACTTTCATGTTTAGGTCTCGTTTTTTTGCGGGTTTGCATCATCCAAAGTGCGACTAAATTTGAATCATTGTTTAATCAACTTAAAGCTTTCCTAAATGTCTATTTTAAAATGTGCTTCAAAAATCCAGTTTCTTATTGAAACAGAATTTATTTTAATTTGAATAAATAATATAAATAATAAATGTAAACATAATAATAAATAATTATTTCAATTAATTTCATTTGAATTATTTTTATTTGAACATATTTTCAGATTTAATAATTTCAGTGATTTTTAAATTTTCTATTTTAATGTTTCTTTCCTTTCCTCTGTCATGATGCTTTTGTGTTATGTGAAGCACTTGTGCGACACATGTGAAATGTGCTATATAAATAAACTTGCCTTACCTTTCTTGTCCTCTCCGCTGCGTCTCTAATCTGGTGCTCGGACACTTAACTCCCCCGCATGTTCTCTCAATCTGATATTTCTGATATCTGGTCTCTGTCATGAACCTGTGGTGTTTTTGTTTATGTATCTCTGATTTGAAAAGAACGGTTTTCGCTGATGGACGTGACGATAAACTTAAGGTTTTAATTTTGGGCCTTTATTTTAGAGACAGGACCGTGGACATAGTCAGGGAGAGAGAGAGAGAGAGAGAGAGAGAGAGAGAGTAGGTGAGACACGGGAAAGGAGCCACAGGTGGGATTCTAACCCGAGCTGCAAAGGGCTATCGGCACCCCAGCAATAAATTGAATCTTGAATCTTAATTCTCCGTCTGCAGTTTAAAATCCTTGCTTTGTGGTGAGGCAGCGTCTCTGTCTCTCTCTCTTGTCTGCAGCTGTTGGATGTTTGTTTTCAGGACTTCCTGCCAGGTTTTGTTTTCAGGTTTTTTGGGTCCGACATCTCCTTTGCCTTTTGGACGCCCCTCGGTTTGTCAGATATGAGAGCAGTTATCAGGTCAACAGGTGTTGCAGCGATGGAAGCGGTCAAGAGAAGTGGTTCAGATAGAAGTGATTGTACCCGACCTAAAAAGCCTCTGCATGTTTCTAATAAGCTCCACGAGCAGAAACGTGCTAGGATCAATATTGGAGATGCTTTTGAAAAATGGAGAGAGGTTAGAACACAGAAAGGTTTACAGACCCATGCAGAGCTGGATAAACACTGAAGCTTCAGAGTCCACCACATGGTGACCTGAGTGAACATCCACTCTAGAGAGGAGGGGGGGACAGCTCTCTATGATGTTTAGAATTCAGACTGCAGTATGCATTTTAAACACTAGGGGTCAGCGTTACATACTGCTCCTTTAAAATGTGTCTTTATTTATTGTATTTTTCCCTCACTTACATTTTTACTACCTACCTTCCTTTTAACACTTTTGTTTGCTGTCTTTCTGCAGGAAGTCGTGGGATATCTGTCGAGAGGTCCCGGTCGTTGAAGATGAACAGACGCCATGGAAGATGATCAAACTGCTGAAGATCATCACTCTAATTGTGATCACTATAATTGTGTTTGGATTAGCACTATGTAGCAAGGTTTGTTATTCTTTTATACTTTTATATGGGAAGACGGAGACAGTCTCTGCAGAAAGTCTCTCAGATCCAGACAGATCTACTGTCTGAAGATCACAGCCCTCGTATCCTGCTTTAACCTTCCTGAGTAATGAATAATTTTTCACACGTTCTCAGGCTTCTTTCCTCCTCCTCATCACCTTGGCAAATGAAGGCACAAAAACCATCCAAGACGACCACAAACCTGTGGTTCTACTGTGCATCGGCTGCTCTCTCATCACGTCGAGCGTCATTTTGTTTACGAAAAGCATCTGGAAAGCATGCTACAAAACATCAAAGCTACCGAGGAAAGAAACTTTTGCCCTGGTAGGAAAATTTCTCCACAAAGTCTCTCTTTGCATTGAACCTGTCAGGTATCTGATATCTCATCTTCACCATCCTCTGCTTCTTTGTCAGGTTATGTTCATGGAGTTCGTGGCATCTGGAGGTGCAGCGATTCTCACGATCGTCGCAATGCCTCATCTGGACATTGTCACTAATGTCACGATCCTGAACAGCGTCGCCATCCTTCCTGCGATTCTACAGGTGGTCACCCAATGCACCGCCAAAGAAAGGAACCGCTTCCTGTTGCCATCCATCACCGCATTCATCCTCATCCTGCTCGGTTACGTCCTGTTCCTCTTCCTCTACATAATGAAGGATCCCACTGACATCAAGATGATTATTTGGGTTGGTCTGGCAGTCGGTGGGTCTTTCCTGGTGTCTTTTAACTGGTGGGAAAACTACCTGAGACCGATCGGGGAAAACAGCAAGTCTTTAGTCCTCCGGAACCTGTGCAGAGATATAATCAAATGCAGAAACATCCTGCATATCCTCTCCAGCCTGCTCAGGATCGCTGTGACCGCCTGCGTGCTCGGAGCCTACGTCCCCCTAAACAAAATGGACTGGGACGTGGTCAGATTCATCCCCAGGCGTGAGACAACAATCATAGGCATCATCATCGGTGTCCAGCTGATCTCCTCTGCGCTCTGCCACTGGTTTTCACTGCTATCCTGCAAGATGCACGCCATACGACGATGCTTCATCCTGCCTCTGTACCTGGCCTCTCTGGCTGTCATGGCTCTGCTCGTCATCCCCGTTATCGTTTACTATCAGGACTACAAAACCAGTCTGAATGGAACCAGTATCAACTTCACAAGCTACTGTGATGTGGTGGTGGACGCAAGAAACCAAACCCTGACCGGCAGTGTGTTCCCACATCTGGTGTTGGATGTAACACACACCCTCTGCTTCATGGATATGTCCAGGCTTTGGGACACCAGCATACTGACAGGTAGAAAAAAAGGGCCTGGTTTAAGTTTAAATGCAATCCGACAAGTTGTGAACGTGATACACAAGAATTAAACGTAAAGTTATCTCTACTTAGATGCCTACATGTATTTTTGTCTTTTGATCTCCTGTCACTGAAAAGCAGGGTATTAGCTATAAAAAAAACACTGACTAGTTGTTTTGAATGTAGGCCAACTCAACCCGTCTGCCCCTGTGCAAGAGCGATCGTGTCAAAGTACGTTTACTATAGCATACTCATAGCTTCCTATGTGTTTGTGAATCTCCCTTCAGGTTCAGCAGTGTCCTGGTGGCTCGGTCTGTTGTTGGCCACCATCCATCTGTGGCACCTGAGCATCTATCGTATCCAGAGGACCCAAGACCTGTTTGTCAGGAGGCTGTATGAGGGAGCCTTCATCGAGCAGTCACTTCTGCTCAACACCCGCTTCGACATCCGGACCAGACACAAGAGGCAGTAAGTGTTTGTGAATGTCAAAGAGTAGTTAAGAATCCACCAAAGCCTGGTTATCGACTCCCCTTATCTGTGCAATGGTAGCATAGTTCTTAATCTTAGCCTCAAGTTCTTGATGCAATGCAACCATTTGACTCACATTTTGCATATCTTGTTATTTCAAGGGATAAGCAAATGGAAGCGTCAATGTTGTATCTCTGTGCGACCATGTGGCACGAGACCTACGACGAGATGACTAACATCATAATTTCAATATTCAGGTGAGTCCTATTTGCTTCCTATGTCATCTTTCCATTTCTCTCAGTCTCTTTCTGTGAGTTATTTCCCCTGAAAAGAGGAAATGCTGTAGAAATCCTAGATGTAGCCTCAGTGGCGTCGGCCAATGGGCACTGAAGGGGCATTTTGATGACCAGCGGTGGTAGTCACCGTGTTGGAAATGATACTTCAAGCTAAATTTTGGTCAATCTAGAAACAGGCAGAGGTAGAGCCGAGGCAGGTCTTTAGCCTCCAGCTACAACACCCCTTAAACTAGCCAGACCCAGCTGTAAATATGTTAATTTCTTAAGTCAAAGGTGCATTTTGGATTTAATGGGGTGTGTATGGGACTTCCTGTTCCCTGCATCACAGTGGATTTCCTCACAGTGTCTTCTCATGTTTCTTTGAAAACTGCAGACTGGACAAGTACAGACCGAGGACGGAGCAGAAGTTTGATGATTTCACTTTCGAAGCTCACATCTACTTTGACGATGCGTTCAAACAAGTTGAGGGGAGTCAGGGCCGCCATCTCAACGACTACGCTAAGAGCCTCGTGGAAGTCCTCGCTGAAGTTTACAGGTAAGACTGATTTTTATGGATTGCCTGTTGGTGAGGTGCCAGTAAGTGTTAAGCATTGAGTCCAGGTCATAGTTCATAATACAAATAAAGATGTCTCTTTTTCTCTGTCATCAGCATCTTCACAAGTATCGATGACAAGTTCTTCATAAAAAAGCAACAGATCCCTGAGCAGAAAGTCATTCGGACGCCATACGGAGGTCGTCTCGTGGTCACCATGCCTAATGGGAACAACATCATAGCTCACTTCAAAGACAAAGAACTCATCCGCCACAAGAAGAGATGGTCCCAGGTACAAATATAAACCTCTTCCATGAAGGTTACTGTAGGAATGACTTGATAAATTCTGGTTTGGTTTATATTTATTGTTTGTTTTTCAGATCATGTATCTTTACTATCTGCTGGGCTGGAAGCTCATGACCAAATATTACAAACGCTGGGAGAACGGCGAGGACGACTCAGTGCTGAAAGCGGAGGTCAAGGTAAGATAGGACAAACATGAACTTGAATGTCCTCTGAATGTCAAAAAAAAAAATGAATGTAAAACAAAACAATCTGCCTGATTCCCCCCAGAGAGAGAAGCAAAACACCTACCTCCTCGCTCTTGATGGGGACACCGACTTCCAACCGGCCGCCGTGATGTACCTCATCGATCGTTTGAAAATGTACCCCCGTGTCGGGGCGGCCTGTGGGAGGATCCACCCGACTGGATCAGGTTTGTAAATTGCATACTTCAGATTATTTAATGGGAAACAGGAAAAGTCTGACCAACTGTTGTATTGGGATAATCATAGACTGAATCAAACGTGGTCTCAGTGACCCATTTATACGATACATTAAAATATGAGACACTTTCTGGTCCCCTTGGGGAAAATTGTCTTGGACTTGAATGTATGCTGCACTTAAGAGTCCAAGACAAATGACTCTAAGGGGACAATGAAGTGTTTTGTTTTGAATGTGTTGTTTGGTTTGGTTGACGTCCAAAAAGGCATTTTGAAGCCAAACATTGGAACTCGCCATTTTGGACATTCTGACTCCGACTTACTTTCAGTTAGTCCAGAAAAAGGCAAAGACGTGGAGCTGAGGCGAGCTCCAAGCCTCCTTCAAACAGCGACAACATGTTCCCTTGTATGGTGTGTCTTAATAAAGAAATGAGCTATCAAGACCACAAACACTTTTTTCCACTTTCCAATTCGCTTCATTTTTTCCACACCAGACGTTGCTGCTTGGTTGAGATGTATCATATCTTTTGTATTTCCTTTGCAGGTCCCGCTGTGTGGTTCCAGAAGTTTGAGTACGCCGTCAGTCACTGGCTGCAGAAGACAGCGGAGCACGTAATTGGCTGTGTGTTGTGCAGTCCGGGCTGCTTCAGCCTGTTCAGAGCTGAGGCGCTGATGGACGACAACGTGATGAAGCGATATGCCACCAAGTCCATGGAGGCCAGTCACTACATCCAGTATGACCAAGGTAAAGGAGGCTGTTTGGTCAGACTTCTGCTCCTCGCTCAGTCCTGCCGGTAGCTCGCTCATTCTTAAGGCTCTCTCGGGTAATCGCAACTTTCATTTCATTCAGGTGAGGATCGCTGGCTGTGCACGCTGCTGCTGAAGCAAGGATGGAGGGTGGAGTACAACGCCGCGTCAGACGCTTACACCAACGCCCCCGAGGACTTCAAAGAACTCTACAACCAGGTGAGAAATTGAGCTGATCAAAACTTTTCTGCCAATAAAATCATGACATGGACACGGAAACTCCCAGAACAAGCCATTTCATATTCCAAATATGCCGGGTTTTGGAGAACTTACTAAGTCTCTGACCATGTCGGACAGCCAAAGCAGTCAAAGTTTTGCTAGGTTTTGGTAACAAGTTGGTAAGGGTTTAGAGATTTGCAAGGCAAGCCAAAAAAATATAACATTACATACGCTGATGAGTATGTTTTCATCTTCAGCGCCGCCGATGGGGACCGTCCACTATGGCCAACGTGGTGGATCTGCTGGGCTCCAGCACTGTCATCTCCAAGAGAAATCCGTCAATGTCAAAACCTTTCATGTTCTACCAGCTGTTTAACATCACATCAGCCATCCTGGCCCCCGCCACCATCTGCCTTTTGATTGCAGGTTTGTGCTTTGCAGACAGTGTAGAGATCAAGTCGTTGTTGTCTCGCTCATTTTTCAAGTGTCATTCAAACTTGCAGAAATTAAAGACAGGAGGAACATGCTGTACTGATGTCTGTTTGTCTCTTCCATTGTGGCCTCCAGGTAGTTTGTCCTTTGTGTTAAATATGGATGCAAGTTGGGCCCTGATCCTGGCAGTGATACCTCCCATCATCTACCTGATTCTTTGCTTCAAACTCAAGTCCGACACTCAGATCACTATTGCAGGAATCATGAGTATCATATATGCATTCCTCATGTTGGTTGTTACGATGTCCATTATCGGTGAGTTGTGCAAATTTACACAATTTACTTTTCTGGATGTTGTACAGTCTTTAAAAAAAGAGCTGCTTGATTGTGCATTCATTCTTACATCTCTAAAATACCTTTACGTTTTCTTCAGGCGCAATGGTGAGGGACAAAACCATCCTGACGCCGAGCAGCATTTTCGTCGTTTCTATGGCCATCATTTACATCACCACAGCGGTATTGCATCCTCAAGAAATCCAGCTGGTGTTTCACGGCTTCCTCTACATCATCTGCATCCCCAGTGCCTACCTCCTGCTCACCATCTACTCTATGGTCAACATGAACAACGTGTCCTGGGGCACCCGGGAGTCCAAACCTGCTCCCGGTGCTACCCCGGCGGAAGTTGCAAAGCCACAAACAAAAACCCAGAAAGGTAGATTTAAAAAGTTTAAAATACTTCTTTGTCATTGTCATACCACTCAAAGTGCAACTCTGGTCCATTATTATTTTTGTCCTGACTGAACTGAACTGATCTTTTTACTTTTTACTCGTAGCCAAAAGCTTCTTCCAACGAATCATGTCGTGTGGAAAATGCTGCAAAAAACCCAACGAGAGCCATCAAGACCGGCAGCTCAACGTCAACCTCAACCAGGAGAATCTTATCCCAGAGCCTCCACTGAATGAAGCTCCGCCTATGAACACTTTTGTGGGCGATATAGGAACCCTAGAGGAGGAACAGATGTAGGTTTATGAAAGTGAAACATGGATTGACATTTTTGCATAACAAGGCAAGAGATGGTATTTATGTTGTTTCTGTTTGTGTTTCAGGCAAATGGGGGCTGCCTGTCCTCCCCAATGTAAGCCCCAACAGTTTTAAAAAAATCAGAAGTCCATCCCACTTGTTAAGGTGTTGTTATCTTATACCCTGTTTTTTTTTTTTGCTTTGGTCTCTAGGTTGGGTCTCACAACTACAGAATGCATCCAGGGACATGCCACTGCAGGAAGATTCACTCGACAAGGTGCGTTTGTTTTTCTCGTTAGGTTAGCATGATTAACAGAATTTAAGAGAAATGCTTCAGGCTACCATGAAAACAGACGCGATACAGATGCTTAATTTTTAACATTTAGAGACTAATCTGCACTGGACACCATACAGCATCTTCTTGAGGGAAATTAACTTTTACCTTTTGGGCATTTTAGAAACCTGATTTTAAGCCTCCCAAACTCTGTAACTGTTTTACATAAGTGTGTTTATTTATTGCAGTTTTGTACTCGCTTAATTATCTTAGTACATTTTAGACTTTTGTAAACTGATTTTAGCAGTCTTGTATTATCTGTCCCCTGTTATTCTTTTTGATTTAATGTCTGTTTTCTAATTATTTCTGTAATGACTCAATGTCATTGCCCCTCAATGATCTTTCAAGTATAAATAAAGGTTGAATTTAATTTAATTTAATCCATTCTCTCTGTGCAGGACGAGGAGGGGTTCTGGAGGGAGCTTCAGAAGAAGTACCTGGAGCCTCTGGCGGACGACAAAGAGAGACAGAAGCAGATCATCAATGACCTGCGAGAGCTGAGGAACAAGGTCGGTGTCGAGTGCTAAACTCTGTACATTTCAAACTTAAATTCCCGGTGAATTCCACCTTTAATAATTCATCTTTCATTTACACGCAGATCAACTTTGCCTTCTTCATCCTGAACGCCCTGTGGCTGGTGGCGACGTTTACCCTTCAGAGGTTCGGGGCCTTCATCTTCATTGTGCTCCCGAAAGTCGACTTTGACCTTAACAACACCGGAGAAAACGTACAAATCGATCCCATCGGCTTCATGTTCATTCTCGGATTTGCCACGTCGGTTTTGATCCAGTTCTTCGCCATGATGTACCACAGGTGATCCTCTAAAGTCCACAAACTTCCTCTGACGCAGAAATGTACAGTGGCCCTGAGGGTCAAGTGAAAAAATGTTTCCTGAAAACAAAACAACAATCCTGAAACGCTGTTAAAGACTTGACTTTGTGAAGTGACTGTCGCTCTGAAAACCTCCGGACTCATGAGACAGAAAATATTTTTGTGTTTTTTGGAAATGTTTTTTGCAGTAGACCTTCAGGACCGCTGCAGGAGCGTGAAAACAAATGTGAATATCCTGGGATCTTTTACAAATACTTAACGCTCTTGTGTTGTGTTCTTCCAGAATCTACACTCTGGTCCATTACGTCGCCTTTATTGACACGGAGCCCAGAGAGCAGAAACCTGATGAATATTACCCGCCAGCCAAAAAGGTATTTACACCTGCTGAGTTTTTGTTTTGATGTATTTCCTGTATTTTCCTGAATCATCGAAACAAAAAGGCGCTACACGGCATCGATGTTACAGTTAATGTGGAAAACAACTGGAGCTTGAAATGGATCCAGCATGTTTGTAGATTTAAATGAATTATTATTCTACATTTAATCTCCACCAAGACAATGGAGGGAAGAGCCAGCTCACACTAATGACACGTTATTCTCCATGCAAATGCTCACAACAGAAGATAACATATACCTGCCACAAGTCATTGTCTTTTATGCCGTGAGGCAGGGAATGTTCTGTAAGCAGGCCGACCACACCCTGCTGTAACTTTGGCAGTTTAGTCACCTGGCAGAGGTGTTCCAGGTGTGGTGACAGGTATGTTGTTGCTGATATTTATTTTTTTCTCCTCCCAGATCGAAGCTGCCTCCAAAGAGGAAGGCGACCTTGACTCCATCTCCAACATCTCCCAGGCGGACTCTGAATTGTGGTCTGAAGGCGAGGAATCTGACGACGACGAGGAGTACCCCCCCCCGAGCTACATCAGGAGTAGGGCCAATGATGGCACCATGGTGTGAACGCATCCTGCACGACCACACCAGTCTTTAGCACTTTGAAATATCCACTACATGTGAGATGAAAAAATGTTTGAAAACGTTATTTAACTTTGAATCCAGTGCAATTTATTTATGAGAAGAATTTATGGGACACATAGAGCCTTGAAATGAACACATGATGCACGTCCTGGAGAAGTAACGCATGAAAACAGGCAAGAAGTACACGATCAGGTTTAAATTTAAATGTATGTGTTTGAGTGTGTGTGAGCGAATCGAATCGTCATCAGGTCAGTCAATGTTTGCAATATTTATGATGGATTTATTCCGTACATACGAGTTTGATTAGATTCTGATGCTCCTGCGTTTGCTGAGTATGTAATGTGAAGAGGAATAATGTGAAGTGAAAAATAACCTTGTCTGTGTGCTAAGACGCAGACACACTCGTCCTTTAAATGCTGACAGCCATGAATGAAACGTGGTCGCGTAGGACGAGGGGGGAAATCATCACTTGAAGGATAATCAGGAGAAAAAGTCCGATGTTGCACTAAATGATCAGGACAGTAAATGCAGGTTTGTGTCGTCTTAACGTGTGTTTGTAGCATCTTGACTCAGCGCCTCTCGTCCGTGCTTTCCTTGAACTTGACCTTTTCTTGCACGATATATGAAACGAAGTCGAATGTTTGGTGTGTTCATCGTTCGTTCACTTCAGAAGTCGTTTTAATCATGTTTTAAAAAAAGGTACCCGAATGATGCTGCACAATCTCTACACTACAAAATGATGATCTGAGTTTATATTTATTTTTGAATGAAGGAGAAAAACTAAATAATTAGTTTGAAGTGATGTTTTTAAGCTGTGCATTTTCCCTATTTATGTAATGAAATGAGTTGTGTGTGTAAGGCTTGTGTGTTCTGTGTTCAGATGTGTCTTCACCCTTTGTGGTGGAGTTATTGAATAAATCAGTAAATATGAATATTTGAAATGACTTGTTGTCTGGTGGTGATTTAAGTCTTGCACGCAGACGACTATCTTTTAGTGTTCATCTTTGCAAAGCTTTAAATTCTGTAATTGTCTTGCAGAAAAAGTCACAAATGGCATCTCTGAATCTCTGAGGTGTTCCGACCTGGTTTCAAATGTTTTTTTAACGACCGTTCATATTTCACTGATTCAGCTGTTTTAACACTTTTAGATCTTTCAACAGAGTAGACTTGTAGATCGTAATTTCTCCTCTGGAGAACTGTGTTGATGTGTGACATTTCTCCGTCTACATTACATCCTCCTCAGCCCCCGGAGTCCCTCAAAGTGCCATACTCGGTCCTCTATTATTCTCCTTGTACAAGCATTTGACCATGCGGACCATCACAGACAGACATTTGTGACTCAGTTTGAAGTCTCAAAAAAGTGACAGCCTTCGTATTTAATAGTGATTTAATGGACCAGGGTGTGAAATAGAAACCGTCACAGGTGGTCTTTTGTCAGCATCAAATGGCAGATCGTCAACAGTTTTGAAACAAATTTTTCGAAAGCTATTTGATGGATTAACAGAGAATTAGTTTGAACACTCATCAGCTCCTGAGGATAAATCTGCCCTCACGGTCAGATTGTCTTTTTTAAGTAAATATAATGTAATGACTGATTACACTGAGGACTGTTAGAGCATCTTCAACGTGTCACACACTCTCGTTCAAACTTTTAGCCCTGCATGAATTCCTGAGCCGGTCCGACCGGTTCGAGTCTTTTATTAAAGAAGCAAGTCATGCAACAACCAGCATCCTGTATTCCAGATGAAACCGCTGGATGCCAGCCTTAATTATTTTTAAACAACAACAATTAAAAAGTAATTTTAAGAACTGACAGGCGGACTCCCGAACCCGTAGATGGAGCTGGCGTCAGAGGGAAACACCCAGAAAAAGGGCGTTGGTTGGAAGTCAGCACATATCATTAAAATGTTTCCCTCTCTTAGTTTTAGGAAGGCGTTTTAAAGAAGTGCGCATGGATCAAGAAAGAGTGTTTAAGTTTCTATAAAGAAAAGGTTCGGCCCAATTGCACTGTATGTTTTGAACTTGCTTTAATAAAAATATGTTGATTAAAAAAAAAAAAAGGTTCGGCACACTGTAAAAAAACAACATTCATGGGGACTTTTTATTCATTTTTCAGATTTATTAAAAGTCCATAAATACAGATTATTACATGATAACAGACAGACGGTTCAAACAAAGGGGTCTTTAAAAGGTCCACAGAGGTCACAGCTCCAAAGGTTAAGAGCCACAACCTGAAAGGCTGAAAGTCTCTTTTAGTTCAAAGACCACCGCGAGGGACGTAGTGTTGAAGTACTCAAAGCTGGTCTTGGTCTCCAGAACACTTTCTGAAGGTCTCGGTCTCGCCCCGGAATCGAGAGCATTTTTACTCAGTCTTGTCTTGCCGAGACCTTCAAAAAGTGGTCTTGAGACCGGTCTGTCTTGAGAACTACAACATTACTTGTTCCCTAAATGGCTCCCGTTTGCTACCCGACCTGACAAACACTGACCAGCTTTTTTACACACAGTTCGCTTCAAGACAAGATGAACCAGGAGTGCTCCATCAAAACCTATAAAATATTAACAACACACTAAAGCAGGGGTTCATGACCAGGGACCACACACACCCCAAACACAGACATCATCTTAGAGAACATTTAAAGTGTGTTCACACTTCAGAAAACTCCTGAAACACTCCTGATACTTTCACTCTGAGCGTCATGTGATCACTCAAACATCTGAATGTTTCTCTCTTCAGCCGGAGTTTCTCCTCCAGCCTCCTCGTGTTTATTCTGCAGAAAGTCAGAGTGAGCTGATGTGAGAACACAGCAGGATATAATCAGGAGAATTCACCTGGAGCCAGTGGGAGGGGGTGGTGACCTTTATTCCGTGATCGCTGCACGACCATAGACTGTCTGCACGCCACCTCTACCATCTCCGTGCTCTAATCAACCTGCTGCTGCATGTTTCCTGTTCTCCAGGATGTTCTTCTCCACTCTGAAGTTCACATTGAGATTCTCTTCAACAACACGTAGTATTGATACAAACACACATATTCTCATCATAGAGGACTCTGCTGCTTCCTCAGAAGACCCCCCGCCCCCCCCGAAAGTCTCCAGCTTTAATAGTGAGTTTTTTAATTAAAGAGTTGAAATTTTTTTTTCATGAAATTTAAAAATTCACCCCAAAATACACACCTGTGACAAAATGTATTCAATATGCATCAGAGAGCAGAGGGAACATATCACTTCTGTTTTAATGACCTTACACTGGCTACCCATTTCTTTTAGGATTGATTTTAAGGTTTTAATTCTTACTTTTAAAGCACTTCACTGTCCCCTTACCAGCCAGTGCGTAACCTGAGATCCTCAGGCAGGAACCTCCTTACTGTTCACACCTCAAACTTGAAAACTTAAGGAGATGGATCATTTGTAGCTTGGGCTCCTCGGCTGTGGAACGACCTGCCTGAGGATCTCAGACGAGCTACATCAGTATCTTCTTTTAGATCACTTTTAAAAACACATTTTTTATTGTAAGGCCTGCTTATAATCCTTGTTTCATCCATGATGTTTTATTTGTTTTACTGTTAACTTAAGCCAATCTTTGTCTCGGTTGTTTCTCTTTTCTCTGTTCATTGGATGATTGCTGCACTGTTGTTTTATTTTTCATGCTTTTAATAGGATTTTATTGTTGTGTATTTGTTGGGATTTTTTCTTTTTTCTGTAAAGCACTTTGTGACGTTGGTTTTGATAAGTGCTTTATAAATAAACTTTATTATTATCATTATTATTAGATCAACACAGCCAAAATTATCCACAAAAAACTGGGTTAAAGTGAGGTTCTCCTGCTCGGTTTCAAAATAATAATCCCTGTTACAGCTGTCATGAGCACGCCGCGTGAAAAACGATGAGTTGGCGTTCTGTTGTTACATACCGTGAAATAAAGAGTCCGCAGAAAACAAATGAAAGAAACCAGCGTGGTAATGGCTCTTTACAAAAGCTTGAAGGTCAGTCATAAAGAATGCATTCAAAGTGCAATTAACACACAATTAACACGCCCTGAGATAATTGGCGAGGTGGTTACGACATCGTGTCCTCCTTCTACCTGTGACTCACACCTCCTGTCCAATCAGAGCACACCAGAGACCTCCTGCTGTCAAAGAGGATCCCCCTGAGCGACTTCTGGAGTCCCCCTGAGCGAGTTCTGGGGTCCCTCAGAGGGGGTTCTGGGGTCCCTCAGAGATGGGGTTCTGGAGTCCCCCTGAGCGGCTTCTGGAGTCCCCCTGAGCGGGTTCTGGGGTCCCTCAGAGGGGGTTCTGGAGTCCCCCTGAGCGGGTTCTGGGGTCCCTCAGAGGGGGTTCTGGGGTCCCTCAGAGGGGGTTTTGGAGTCCCTCTGAGCGGGTTCTGGGGTCCCTCAGAGGGGGTTCTGGAGTCCCTCTGAGCGAGTTCTGGGGTCCTTCAGAGGGGGTTCTGGAGTCCCTCTGAGCGGGTTCTGGGGTCCCTCAGAGGGGGTTCTGGGAGGACGTTGAAATGAGAAGAAAGCTGCTTTCAGTCTGTTGAAACTCAGACCAACACAAGTCCGCCTCAAAGGGGGACAATCACCGTTTGGGACTTCAGGGAATCTGATTTCTGGACCCACAGATCGATGGAGGGATGAAGAGATGGACGGACAATCATAAAGAAGGATGGATAACAGAAACACTGCTGAATGGATAAACAGATGGGCGTATAGAGAACAAACCATATGATGTATTTTTGAAGGCCAACCAGGAAGTATCATCTCCACGGGGTCTAATGAGAATCCTCCTCTGGGATGTTTTCATTGGATTTTGGATCATTAATAAATAATCTCTGTGTTAAACACACGTTTCTGAAGCGTAGGCGTTTTGTTCAGCAGGATCATCTTCACAGATGAACGCCATTTTTATGATGTTTGAAGCGTTAATGCGGCCGACAGAAGTAAAAAGCTAACGTTATGCTACAAGCTAACTACACCACGGTGGGATG